TCCTTCGTTCTTATCTCATCCTCTGTGTGCTTAACTTAGCTGTATTTTTAGTTCTTATTGAATTGGATGCTTGATTTATTATTTTCAGCTTTTCTTAGTAATTAATATAAGTAAAAAAGAGTGACTTTTCATCTGAGCGCTCTGTTAGCTGTATCCCATGATTTCTGATATATAATGCAGAAGCCTGATTCTCAAACTGTTGAATTGTGTTTTTTATACAAATAGCTGGGGGTGTGGCAGAGAACCCGCTAGCCCATTGATGAGGAAACTGGCGGATGGCCATGAGGTCCGAGGTTGCAGGACATAGAGTCCCGCCAGTGGACCAGGGACAGTGAATCAGTTTCCTGCCTCAGATCCACACCTGGTGCACGTCGCACAGGACGATGAGTGTATAGCCTTGGGGTCACTTCTGTACCCACACGCCATCCCCTTTCCACAGGGTGACCTCTGGCTTCCCAGGTTGGCCGGCCAGCCCTGGGGTCACGACAGGAGCCCCCAGAGCTCTGCTCGCTGCACGGGGCGGGCGAGGGCGTGGCCTGATGCTGAAAACCAGAGCCCCTAGCTGCCTTACTTCCAAATTCTGGATGCATTTTCTCGAGCAGCAGGGATGACCCTAGGATTGCTTTCTAGATGGTCTGTAATGAGAGTTCTTTCTTCTCTGCTCAGGAGTTTCTTATGCAAGTTGAAAGTTTTTTGTTTCCTGCCACTTCAACTTCTCGTGGTGTCGCACCGTGAGGAGAGACCACTGTCCCGGCTGCACCTGTTTTGCTCTGCACCTTTGGGCCCAGATATGCAACCGGTTCTCAGGACGGTCCCGCAGGCACTGGAAACATCATGACACGTCAGTTAGAACCTGGCGCCGATTCTACTGTCCAGGTCTCTGCATCCTCACCTTTGAAAACACAGCATCACTGGTGTGCTTCTGCCTGGGTCTCCGTGCTCACCTGCGGGCTTCCCTGCTTTCAGGGCCTCTGGTCCTGTGTCACGTGGCACATTGGGTGGGCAGCCTTTCCACCTGCACTGTGGGTTATCACCTCTGTCGTATTGTTCATTTCTTTTGCCTGGAGTCCAACCTTGTCTGATGTGACGGCAGTGTCCATGGGGTGGGGAGGTGACGGCGGTGCCCCTGGGGTGGGGAGATGACGGTGGTGTCCCTGGGGTGGGGAGGGTGATCGCTGGCATCCTGGGCTTTGGATGCCGCCTCTGGTGGAGTTGAGGAGCGTGAGCCCTCAGGAAGTGGCCACCAGAGGGAGATGATGCTCTGATGGCAGCTGTGGGCCCTCCTGCCGGTTCTCCACCAGGCTCCTGACTGCACGGCTGGGATCCCAGGGCTGAGCATCACTGAGGGCGCTCCTTGGGCTGATAACCTCCTGGATCCCATGGGCTCGGAGCAAGGCCCTGAGGGCTCCCAGGCTGTCCAGGGGGTCCTTTGCTGCTTCTGTGGTGAGAACGGGGGCAGGATTGGTCAGAGAAGCTAGTCTGTGGACAAGCCTGTGAGAGTATGATGGTGGCGGCTCCTGGGCTCCTTCCTTGTCGGCTGGGCAGTGATGGGGGATGACATTGCAGAGCAGAGACTCTCCCCCCCAGAGGGGACACCACAGGTCACCCCGGAACAGTCCTGGGTGGAGACAGTGGAGGGCACGCGGTCAGGGGATTGGAGGTGGGTGCGGCCGGCCCTTGCAGGCTCTGCTCTGCAGCCCCAGAGGCACCTCTGGATCCTGGCATTGCCCGCGCCCACGGGTCCCTCACCCTCTGCTCTGTGGCCAGGCCTGCCCCTGCTGTGGGTGGTCCAGCTCCCCGGCCACAGGGACCCTGGACCTGTCGTTGACTTGAGATTGTTTTTTTTTGGGGGGTGCGCGGGCCTCTCACTGTTGCGGCCTCTCCCGCTGCAGAGCACAGGCTCCGGACGCGCAGGCTCAGCGGCCATGGCTCACGGGCCCAGTCGCTCCGCGGCATGTGGGATCCTCCCGGACCGGGGATGTCCCCTGCATCGGCAGGCGGACTCTCAACCCCTGCACCACCAGGGAAGCCCACGTCTAGCATCTTTACTGTCAGAATTCAGGTGCTATATCTGTTTTTAGTCCTTAACATAACCTCTGCAATAAAATATTTGGGCTCCCAAAGTAGGGGCAGAAGGATTTTTGGATACTCGACAGCTGAAAGGATTTGAAAGTGTCCAGGTTTCCTGTTTCAGCTTCAGTGTGACACATTAATTACGAGGTCACCTTTGGCCGAATAGAAGACTGGCGTTTCCTTTGTGCAAATGAGACATGAGAAAACTCTCTGTGATGTTTGTTGTGATGCAGAAGGACCCAGGCAGAGCCTTTTATGGGAAAAACCGGCCTCGGGCTCCACCGGCCTCTCGCAGCCTCTGCCTCGCCCCGACAGAGGCCGTGAAACGAGTTTGCCCCCAGAGCCCTGGCAGGGAGGAACCCGGCTGGGGCGTCCACGCGCTCACGCACGCCTGCTTCCCTGGCCCGTTTGGAGGCCTGCTTCGGGGGGCCTTGGGCGAGACCTCCCTCCTCCGACTCAATCTCCTCTCCCAGCTCCCCCCCTCCCCTTGCCGGCAGGTTCCAGGGCAATTCGGGGCATTCAGTGCATGTTCACAGTTGCGCAGCCATCACGCTCTCCGCCTCCAGGACCCTCTGATCCCCGAGCGCCAGCGCCCGCCAGCGGCCGCTCCGCGTGCCCCTCCCCCAGCCCCTGACAACAGGGATCTGCTTCCTGTCTCTTTGGAGTCACCTTTTCTGGACACTTCGTATGCGCGGAATCATATAACACGTGGCCTTTGGTCTGGCCTCTTCTACGGAGCACAGTGTTTTCAGCGTTCACCCCCGTTGTAGCGAGTGTCAGGGCTTAACTCCTTCTCGCGGCCGAGTCACGTTCCGGGGGTTTCATCTATTCACTCTCACCTGTTGATGGACGTTCGGGCTCTTCCCGCCTTTGGGCTACTGTGAATCGTGCTGCAGTGAACATCTGTGCACAGTTTTTGTTTGAGTTCTCGTATTCGGTTCTTTGGGTGTATACTCAGGGGTAGAATTGCTGGGTCTTATGGAGTTCTAGGTTTAACTTTCTGAGGAAATCTCATCTCTCTCCCGTACAGGAGCGTGACTGCATGCACTCGGGTGTCTATACAAAGCACACAGTTTATAAATATGCTGCTGACATAGGTTCAGTCATGTGTTACCTTATATTTAAAATAAGCATTAGCGGAGCTCAGCGTCAAGCAGCCCCTGTTATCTGTTTATCAACTGTCATTCTGATGTGAAAATTCATACCATTTGAAACTCTCTTAGCTGCGCTGAATTATGAGGCAGAGCAGGGAAGCTGATTCTTTTTCATTTAAATACATCTTGGGCTTGAGCGGTTTTGTATTTATAAAATAAATGACTTGTGTGGTTTCTTAAATTAAAAATCTTAACACATCTTATCACTTAGATGAACACAATTAGGTGAGATCCTCAAAATAATAAAAAGGCCTCTTTCAGAGCACTTTGGGTATAAAAATAAACCAGCGCCTCTTGGGGGAAGTTTGTCATCTTTGCAGCAGAAATTCCCCAGGGGCTGGTGGAATGGAAGCCGCCTGCAACCGGGGCAGCAGGTCCGTCCACGGTTGCTTCTAGCTGGACTTGGCTCTCGGGGGAGGGTCTGAATAAATAGCAGTTTTGAGGAATGGGATTATATGCTGTGTTTCTTCCTTAGCTGGTCGTGCTTTTTCTGTATTTATCTCAGAGCAAAGGATTGTTCGGGGGAATAAAGGACTCAGACCCCACGAAAACACGTTCCCTGATTGTGGCCGTGGACACTTGCCCCGTGGGCAGTGTGTCCATTTGTCTGGTGTCTTGGGTCCCTACGCAAATCATCTCTCCTTTAGGTGCCGCCCCAGGTCCCTGTGTGTCCCACCTGTCAACCAGGGGCACCTCATTCGTCTGAGGGAAGCTGCGGAGCTCAAGGGTTTCAAAGGACTGTCTTGGCTCTGGGTGGGCGGAGGGAGGGTCCCCAGGAGTTGCCATGATGGAGACCCCCGTCCCGGGAAGCGCACGGGGCCCACATGGAGCCCAAGGACACGTGGCCGAGGCAGAAGAGTGACAGTCCCAGCAGCAGGTCACCTTTGACCCAGGAGACCAGAAAGGAGCATGTGGGTCCGTCCAGCCTGTGCCAGGCCCGGGCTTGGCCCCCACCTGGTATCTGCCGGTTCCTCCCGCGATGGCTGCAGGCCTTCAGCTTCCACGCGGGTCTCTGCAGGGCGAGCTGGCGGCCTTTGGGGACTGGGCCCCAAACGTGAGCTTGTGTCAGGGGAGGGGGTCTTCGGGCCAGGGTAGAAAGCCAGGGCTCTGGTCACCCGTTAGAGGAACCCTGCATCCAGACTGCGTGGCCCGTTACCAGGTATCTGGGGCGAGGACGGGTCAGGGTGGGGTGGGGCTGACTCCTCCTTACTTGGGCCCCCACTCAGTGGTGACAGCGCTGGAGGAGGTGGTGGCTGTGTGTTTGACCTGAAACAGGGCTCTCTGAGCCCGCGAGCCTGGCTGTGCTGGTGGACGCGTTAGGGTTAGGGTTAGGTTAGGGTTAGGTTAGGCATTCACTTTCTGTAGAAAGAGCTATTTTTCTGAATGTGTGTACAGAAAAGTTGTCAAAATTCCTCCTCTGGAGACGCTGGGCTCCAGCCTGCGCCCGAGAAGCTCGGCACCCCTCGCCCGACTGAGGCCATCTCTGCTGGGAAGCGTCTAGCTCCATGACTCACGCGGCCTCCTCTCCCGTTGCACCAGCCTTGTCTGGCCTGTCTCTGTGGGAAATCAGCCCAGGGTAAAGTCTTTGCTGTCAAAAGCATAAAGCAAATGCAGACAATGATGACAGCTCACTATTCAGAACACATCGTCCAGAGGCAGTGGCCTGGCCTCCTGGCTGAGCTTTGCCCGGCCCGAAGACGTTATCTGTGCTCCAACGTTGATAAAACCAGAACAAGCGACCACCATGCTACTAGCTGTCGTCATGGGGACTAGAAATCCAGGATCGTGTTGTTTGTTGTTGGATGGATGCCATCCTGGCCCACTGCACTCACCGGGCTCTCTTCACCCCCAGCCCTGCCTGGTGCCCACCTGGGCTGGACGGCAGGTGAGGGGTCAGTGGGCAGTGGAGGGGAGAAGCCCACCCGAGCTGGCCTCTGTCCGTGGGAGGAGTGACTGCAGCTGACCCAAGTCCGGGCGGTGCCGGAGCCGCTGCCCCCGCCTCCGAGCCCAGGGGCCTGGTCCTGCCCTTCCGTCTGTGCGGGAGCCCAGCAGCCCTGCCCGCCCACGCAGAGCAGCCACTTCTCTGGGACCCGCTCTGCAGGCCAGCGCCAGGCCGCATCTCTGATTCCCTCCACGCCCACCGTCTGCTTTTCCCAGGAAGTCCCTCACCCCCCGTGAGGACGCTGCCTTCTGTCAGAGCAGTGCCTCCCGGGAGTCAGCTGCCGGCCTCTGCGTACCGACGCTTTGATGCTGATGTGTGGCCCCGCTCGTGACCAAAACTTGCCGAGCTCGCTCTGACGTGCAATTTCTGCCACTTTGTGTTTTCATTCTCTGAGTTTAAACACGATTCCCCGCCCCCTCCGTTTTTCTTTGAAGACCCTGGCCCTCGTCCTTCCTGTTCTGCTCATTGCTGGCTGAGCTGGTGCCGACTGGACCCCGCCAGCCAGGAGGCGCCCTCCCGTGCCCAGGGCCCCCCACTGGCCTCTCCATCCCTAGCTTCCCCGTGGGTGAGGGCCGGTGGTGCGGGGTGTGCCTCCCTGCCAGTGTGGACGCCGAGTGGACTTGGCCTTGGGTGTGGCCCCACTCGGGGCTGACCAGGGACGATGGGCAGGGAGGTGATGCTGTTGTCAGAGGTCGCTCCTGGGGACCCTCTGTGCAAAGACCTGCTGGGTCGTCTGTATCTGGGTTTGCATGAGTCGGCTCTGTAATCGTGAAAGACGTGTTTTCACTGGTTTTAAAAAAACGTATGAAAGGGAGCCTTAAGACACCCTATTCTGAGGTGGCGGAGGACATGGTCTTTTCCTACCACGCTGATTTCCAGAATGAACGCGGCAGCTTGTCCAGCACGTGGTGGGGGACACTTGCAGTTCATAGATGGCATGAGGCCTGGCCCGTGGCTCCCGAGCTGCTTACCATGGGCTCTGCTCGCCTGATGATGTCGTTCTGACGGGTTGCGCAAAACTTTATTTTCAGTTAATCGAGTTATATTCTAAATACAGCCCATGGAAGAGCTCTCTATTTAAAAGGAGCTTTGCTGAGCCTCGATGCAGGAGATGATGCAGGAGCTGATGCAGGTGATGCCAGCTCACTTTATTTTCCTTAAAACCAGGAACAGGCTTCCACAAGTGACTGACACAGACCCTGTCACTCCGGGTCTGAAGGAGCCCCTCCCACAGGCCGGCTTCCTTTCGCACGTGGAGCTGGTCCAAAGGAACCGTGTAAAGTAAACACTCTCCGAGCCGAGTCCCGTTGCCCCATTCCCAGTGCCACTGCAGACATGGACTTTTCCAGAAAGCACTTTGGCCCCAGGACATAGTGAAGTCATCTCTCTCGGGCCAGGAACCAGGAGTGGAGTGGACAGGCGGGCACCCAGGTGAATAACTGTGCAGGCTCTGTACATGCACAGTGCATGCACACTCACACACCTGGGCACGCCTACATGCACACACTTACGCACAGGTGTGCACATACCCATGCACTCACGCACCCCCACACGGACAGGTGTGCACACGTGTGCACACGAGACACACACACCACACTCACCTGCAGGCCCAGCCACACACGGACGTGTGCCCTCCCCCCACCCCCCTCAGCTCCACCAACTCCTCATCTCTTCTCCGTTTCTGCAGGTTTTCCATTTCCAGAATGTTACAGAAAAGGAATCACGCCGTGCGTAACCCTGGGGACTGGCATTTTTCAAGGAGTGTGGCTGCCTGGAGGCTCACCGGGTCGTCCCCTCGTTTCTAGGGCTGAGTAGCTGTCCGTGGTCTGGGCGCGTCTCAGCTGCCTTATTGTTGAAGAGCATCTGGCCTGTTCCTACACTTTGGCTGTTATAAATAAAACTGTCATAAACATTCGTGCCCAGGTTTTTTGTGCGAAAAAAATGTTCCTTTCTCTGGGAAAAACGCCCAGGAGTGCAATTGCTGGGTCATATAGTAATTGCATGTTTAGTTGCTTTTTTAAAAGCTGCCCAATTGTTTTCCAGAGGGCCCCACCATTGTACCTCCTCAGCAGCTGTATCTGAGGGATCCATTTCCTCTGCCTCCTGCCAGAATTTGGCATTTTTTATTTTAGCCATTCTGAAAACCATGTAGTGATACCTCATTGTGGTTTTAATTTGCATTTTCCTAATGGCTATGATGTTGGACATCTTTTCATGTGCTAATTTGCCATCTGTAGATCCTCTTGGTGGAAAGCCCTTTGTGACTTTAGCTCATTTTATAACTGGGTTATTTGTTCTTTCTTTTTTAAAAAAAAAAAAAACTGTTGAGTTTTGAGAGTTCTTTATATGTTCTAGATACTAGTCCCTTGTCAGATATGCAGTTTGTAGTTTTTTTTCCCAGGCCATAGCTTATCTTTTCCTCCTCTTAATGGGGTCTTTCGTAGAGCAAATGTTTTTGATTTTGATGAAGTCCAGCCCATCAGTGTATCCATTTATGAACTGAGCCTTTGATGTCAAGTCTGAGAGCTCTGCTTAGCCCTAGATATTGGAGATATCAAACATTTTCTCCTATGCTTTTTCTAAAAGCTTTATGCTTTAAGTTTCACGTTGAAGTACATGGCCTGTTTTGAGTTAATTTTCGTGTAAGGTGTGAGGTTTCAGCCGAGGTCCTTTCTTGCCTGGGTGCCCACTTACTCCGGTGCCCTTTGTTGAAAAGGCTGTATTTCCTCCGTGGGATTGTTTCTGTGTCTTTCTAACAAGTCAGTTGAGCACATTCGTGTGGGTCTGCGTCTGGCTCCTCTGTCCTGTCCCACTGATCTGTGTGTCCGTCCCTCCATAGACACTATCCAGTCTTCCGAATAAGTCTTGAAATTGGATAGACAAATACCTCCACTTTTTCTTTTCTTTCTTTCTTTTTTACTTTTCCATATACACTTTAGAACAACCTTGCCTGTATGTATGAAAAAAATTAACTAGAATTTTAATGAGTTGTTGTAAGCCTGTATATCGATTGGAGAGAGTTGATATCTTTCATTGATTCTTTCATTATCATTTTGTAGTTCTTACATAAAAGTTCTGTACATGTTTTGGTAGATTTATTACAAGTAAATCTTTCTTCCTCTCACCCTTTGTTTTCTTCCTTTCTTCCTTCCTTTTGTGATTTAAATGTCATTTTATCTTTAATTTTGATTTCCATGTGTTTATTGATAGTATATAGAAATATAATTGATGTTTGTTGATCTTGTATTCTGATCAGTTCTCGTAGTTTTTTGTTTGTTTTTGTTTTCTGTGAGGTTTTTGTTTTGTTTTGTTTTCTGGGATTTTTTTGATAGTCATTGGGATTTTCTACATAGACAGTCATGTCATCTGCAAACACGGACAGTTTTATTTCATCCTTTCTGGTCTGTATGGCTTTTAATTCCTCTTCTGGCCTTATTATGTTGACTAGAACTCCCAGTACAATGTTGAATAGGAGTTATGGGAGTGGACATCCTTGTCTTGTGCCTTGTTTTAGGGGGAAAACATTTAGACTTTCACCATTAAGTATAAAGTTAGTGCAGGTTCTTTTTAGATGTTCTTTAACAAGTTGAGAGTTTTTCTCTATTCCTATATTTCTGAGAATTTTCATCATGAATGTATATTGACTTTTTCAAATGCTTTTTCTGCATCAGTCAATGCGAACACATGATTTTTCTTCTTTAACCTGTTCAGATGGTAGGTTACACTGATAGATTTTCAAAAACTGAACACAGCCTTTCATCCTTGAAATAAACTGCACTTTCGTGCTGTATAATTCTTGTTATGTGTTGCTGAATTCTATTTACTGATTTTTTATAAGGATTTTTGTGTCTATATTTATGAGGGATGATGGTCTGTGGTTCTCTCTTTTTGTACGGTTTTGGTATTAGAGTAATTACTAGCTTTATAGAATGAATTACGAAGTCTTCCCTCCTCTTATTTTCTGGAAGAGTTTGTATAGAATTGCTGTTAATTCAACTTTAAATGTTTGATGGAATTCTCTAGGGAAACCATCTGGGGCTGGAGATTAATTTGGGGAGAATCTTTTAATTATAAATTCAACTTTCTTCATCGTTATAGGGCTATTCAAATTATTTATTCATACTGAGTGTGTTGTGGTAGTTTATGTTTTCTAAAATATTGGTCCATTTCATCTAAGTTCTCAAATTTATGTGTTTAATTTTGTTTGTAGTAGCTCTCCCTTTATTACCCTTTTGATGTCTGCAGGCCCTGAATTGATATCCCCTGTTTCATTCCCAATATAAGTTATTTGAATTTTCTCTCTTTTTAATCATTCTTTATAGAGATATGTCAATTTTATTTATATTTTCCAAGAATCATCTCTTTGTTTCATTGATTTGCTCCATTTTACTATTTTCAATTTCATTGATTTCTGCTCTTTAGTATTTCCTTCCTCTGTTTGCTCAAGATTTATTTTGCTCTTCCTTTTCTAGGCTCTTGACGTGGGATCTTAGATTATTGATTAGACATCTCCTCTTTTCTAATATATACATTTTAGTGCTATAAATTTACCTCTCAGCCCTGCCCTAGCTGCATCCTACAATATTTGATGTGTTGTATTTTTATTTTAATTCAGTTTTGTGTATTTTTAAAATTTCCCTTGACACTTCCTCTTTGACTCATGGGTCACTTAGAAGTGTGTTGTCTATTTTCCAAGCATGTATAGTTTTACCTGTTATCTGTTTGTTATTGATTTCATTGTGGTTGGAGAACACCCCCTGTATGGATTCAGTTCTTTTAAATTCGTTGAGGTTTGCTTTATGGCCTGGGACATGGTTTATGTTTGTATATGTTCCGTGGCCACTTGAAAGAATTCTGCTGTTGTTGGGTGGAGGCTCTTTAAACATCCATCAAACCCTGTTGGTTAATGGTGTCGCTGAGCTCTTCGATGTCTTTGCTGGTGCTCTGTCTTTCGGCACAGAGAGATGGATGGGACGTTTAACTCCCACCTGCAATTGTGGATTTGCCTATTTCCCCTTTAAATTCTGTCAGTATTGGTTCAAGCATTTTGAAGCTCTGCTGTTTGGTACATACACATTTAAGACTGCTATGTATTCTTGGTGAATGGACCCTTTTATCATTATATAATATCCCTCCCTGTCTCTCTGTCTGTAATTTCTTTGCCCTGAAGTCTATACTATCAATACTAATATAGCCACTTCTACCTCTTTTGATTAATGTATGCATGATATAGTTTTCTTCATTCTTTTACCTTCAACCGGCCTGTATATTTGAAGTGAGCTTTTGGTAGACAACAAATGGTTGGATCATGTTTTTTAAACTACTCTGCCAATCTCTATCTTCTATTTGGTGTATTTAGACTATTTATATTTTTAAAATTAAGATATAATTCACATACCATAAATTCATCTTTTTACATGTACAATTCAGTGGTTTTTAGTAAATTCACAAAGTTATGTAACATCACCACTATCTAATTCCAGACATTTTCATCACCCCAAAAGGAAACCCCATGAGCAGTAACCCTTCATCCCTTCTGTTCCCCAGCCCCAGACAACCACTCATCTACTTTGTGTCTCTATGGATTTGTCTATGCTGAGCATCTCCTGTAAATGGAGCAATACAAATGTGGCCTTCTGCAACTGGCACTCTTCACTTAGCCTAAGGTTCTCAGGGTTTACTCGTGTTTTAGCATCAATCAGCGATTCATTCCTCTTAATGGCTGAATAACATTCCATCATTGGAGATGGCATATTTTGTTTATCCATCATCAGTTGAAGGATTCGCGCACACTTTCTTTAATTCAAAAACTTGGACCTGAAAAGAAAGGGCTTCAGTCACACAGAGGCTGCTTCAGATGAACCCAGATCATCAGAACGTGAAGCTGCTCTGTGTGCTTGCCAACGTCTTCTTTAGAAACTGTGAACACTAGCCATTTCTAAAAGCCCACATGGAGGTAAATAAAGAGTGCTGTTTATATACAGTGAAAACGAGCCTGAGGCCAGAGCCTCCTTGAAAGAACGAAAGCACCAGGTGACCCAAGCACCCTGCAGTTTGGGGCACCCTGTGTCTGGAGTCCTGTCCTCCCCGAGCATCCTCCTCCCCCAGACCTCACCAAACCCAGCAGGAGTGCAAGGTCACGCCAGAGGGGAGGGTAACCTTGGGGGCCCCTCTCTGCGGGAAGAGACTTGGCCCAAAGGGCCTCAATGAGTGGGGAAGAGGGGACTGGGCGGTGCCTCGAGAGGTGGGGAGTGTTCGGAGGAGAGAGCAGGGGAGAGGGGCCATCCTCTTGAAGAACAGAGCACTGGTGAGGATCAGCTCGTATACCGTCTGGGGAGACCCTGGGGCCACTGGAATGGTGTTGGGGTGAGGCTGCCGACAGCGCTGCTTCCAGGTGGGTCTCTGACGGGTTCTCAGATCAGGGACCTGACCACGCCCCACTCTGCCCACGGGGAAGGTGGGAGCGCCCTACTCCCTGAAATTACCTCTAGTCGGGAGACAAACAAATGAAGTGAATGCGTCCAGAAGTGAGCAAGAGAAAACCAGGCAGTGTCCTTGAGCCGTGAGCGCCCTGGGATGTGCTGGGAGGTGGGCAAGGCCTGACTCTGGTGGGCCAGAGCATCTCTGTGGCCAGAATGAAGATCAGAGACCAACTGGGGCGTGGAGCCGGTCCCGGGTCCCAACCATGCAAGCATGTTTCCAGAGGAAACGCTTAACAGTCCTTGGGTTTTAATCAATATTATTCAAGCTACAAATTTAAATGTCTTTCCTTAAGCCTCTAGGCTGAACTCACAGATCTTGTTATATTATTTATGGATTTATTAATATTGGCATAAAATAATAAATGTCAGTCATCTTACTCGCCGTTTGATTAATTCATACACACGACAGTTTCCCTAAGCATTTAACGTC